AGAAGGCTGCAGCGGCTCGGCTCCTGCTGCCTGGATTCCGAATACCTCCGCTGTGCACCCGGAGGCGAGAAAACCAACCCATGTCAGCAAGAAGAGTGGTGGCAGGAACCCGGGCTAGGGCTACCGGGAGGTTTCCCTTGGGGAGAAGAACGCTAAGAAAGAGGGAGCAGAGCCGGGGGATCCAGGCTGCACTTCTTGAGGCATAAGTTTCGGGAGCGCCAGGGGAGAGGCGTGGGGGCTGCGAGGCTCAGCTCCCGGACCAGCGTCTGGCCTGGTCCCGGGGACCCCAGGCGGGTGCTGATGAAACCGCCTCATCACCACCGCCTCTCTTCCCACTTAGGTCTCCCAAACTCCTAACTAGACTGTGTGGGGCCCCGGGAGAGGAGCGATTCCGGGGAGGTCTCGGAATTGTCTTGGGGCCATGGAAAGTGAGGGATCCCTCGTAACCAAGGACGTGGAAGGAGGTTTGCAGCCAGGCTGAAGCAGCGAAGAGTCGGTGCTGACTCCCAGCGCTGTCGTCGCTGCTCAAGGGCGACCCCCTTCGTTTACAAAGAGAAGTCAATGTTCTCCCTATTCCCGGTGCTTAAACACACAGATCACACTGATAATACCCAATCTCTCTTTAATACCGACTCTTTGGGGCAGCTTCGTAAGCCTCTGTCTCTCTTTCCTCTGGTTTCGAGAGAGAAGAAACACTTATCCTTAACAGCCTCCCCAGCATCTTTAACCTTTCTTTCCTGTCTCTCTCCCTGTTGCATGTACATTTATGACTGGTTTTAAAATAATAATATGGCTCGGCACCTGTGGCTCAAGCGGCTAAGGCGCCAGCCACATACACCTAAGGTGGTGGGTTCGAATCCAGCCCGGGCCGCCAAACAACAATGACGGCTGGAACCAAAAAGTAGCCGGGCATTGGGGCAGGCACCTGTGGTCCCAGCTACTTGAGAGGCTGAGGCAGGAGACTCGCTTGAGCCCAGGAATTGGAGGTTGCTGTGAACTGTGATGCCACAGCACTCTACCCAAGGGGACAGCTTGAGGCTCTGTCTCAAAAAATAATAATAATAATATAACTCCATGACACTTCTGCGCATTCCAGCAGAGCCTTCTGGCTCTCCTCACTCCTTGAGTGAGTCCTGGAGAATATTAAACCCACAGATTCTCGTTTTTTAGCGCTCCTACTTCCATGTCCACCTCCCTCCTTGCTGAGCGAGCTCTCCAGTCCTGACCACCTCACTTCTTCATCCCGGACCCAACTTGGCTCCCAGTTCATTATCTCGAGGGCCTCCCTACCACATCCCTTCCCCCGCCCCACCTGTGCTTTGGGCACCTGGCTTGCTCCTGTCCCATCTGCCACGTGCAAGGTGATCGTGGGGCCATTTGAGGCTCATTTCTACCTGAAAGCCCCTAGCACTGCTCAGGGGGGCCTCTTACTCCCCTCATGTTGCTGCAAACTTCTGCCACTTTCTTCCATCCATGGATTATAAAGAAAATAACAGTTCTTGAACTGGAAGAAGTCCATCTAGCATGAACTTTAATTCCCCTTCCTCTTCATCTTTCATCTCTATCTTCCATCTCCTCTCCATCCTCCATCTCAGGAAATGATCAAAGCTCCGTTCCTCCTCCTGTTCAAGGCTCTATCTCCACCAGCCCCTGTGTCCCTCCCTTCCCACCTGCTCTGGACCAGGCTCTGTCACTGAGCCAGCCCCTTCTTTCCTCCCTGAGCTCCTCACCCTGAGAATCAGGGCCAGCTTCTGGTGAACAACCTGTGCAGGGCCCTGCACTTAAAGGACCCCAAACTTGTCTCATGCTCTGTTGCTATCTTGGAATTTCTAATAATTTTTTTTAACAAGAGGCCCTGTAATTTCTTTTCCTTTTTTTTCTTTCTTTCTTTTTTCTTTCTTTTTTTTTTTTTTAGAAACAAGTTCTCACTATTTTGCTCAGAATGGAGTGCCATTGTGCCATAGCTCATTGTGACCTCACACACCTGGGTTCAGTGATTCTCCTGCCTCAGCCTCCCAGGTAACTGAGATTATAAGCTAATTTTTTAGTTTGTTTTCTTAAGACAGGATCTCACTATGTTGCCCAAGCTGGTCTCAAATTTCTGGCCTCAAGTGATGCTCATGCCTTTACCTCCCAAACTGCAGGGATCACAAGTGTGAGCCACCACACCTGGCCAGGACCACATTCTCATTGTGCACTGGGCTTCACAAGTTACGTAGTCAATCCTGATGAGAACAAATTTTTATTTTTATTTTTATTTATTTTCCATCTTTAAATCTACATTTTTTTTTAGAGATGCAGTCTTACTATCTTGTCCAGGCTGGACTGAATCCTGGACCTAAGTGATCCTCCCATCTCAGCCTCCCAAATGGCTGGGAGCACTTCTTTAGCTACATCTTTATGAAGCCACTTCTCACTCCAGATCACTGGCTCTGTATGTCTTCATCACTTCCTAAGCAACTTCTGAAAGAGACAGCCATATTGATTTTTCAGCATCCTTATCACCTTGACCTCCATGGCATCTGGAGGACCCCCCCCCCGCCACTCTAAAATCATCCAGTGCTAGTCTATTTGCCTTTTATAAGAGACATCTCAGTCCTGCTACCCATTGTCTTGACAGCATCTGTCACCATGTATCCCTCCTCTCTCAGATTCCCTTCCCCCCATCTCAATAGCTTTTACCCATTCTGAGTTTCCGGGTTCTCCTCCACGTTCATTAACAGCTCCTTCTCAAGTCTTTCTGGGCTCTGGACTCCTTGTGGTCCTCTTAACCTTCCCCTTGGATTTCCCTGGCTTCAATACCAAACCTGTGCACATATAGCATCCAACTCCATATCCACTGAGTCTGCTCGCCTGCTTCTAGGCCCTGTTTTTCACTGGGCAACTCAGCCCCACTCTGATTACATACCACACTCAATTATACCCTCAACCCAACCTGGTTACTGATCCAGAAGCTCCTCTGCAAGGTTGAGATCTCCCAGGCTGCTTTACCTGCCTGTCTGCTGATTCCGATGCTCTCCACGGCACTGGAGTGCAGAGCATCACAGCTGTAGTTACTGTTAATTTCTTCTCTGTTCTCACACTAAAGGGAAAGCATCTCTTGGTCAGAGATCATGTGGTACCCAGCTCTATGCCTGGCACAGAGAAGACACACAATAAACGCCTGATGAAGAGTGGACGTCAAAGGCGTCTTTGACTCCTCCATCTTGCAGTTGTCCACTATGACTTATTGCTGAAACAGCCCCTAAAGCACTTGTCAACTCTTTCCTCCTCCAACTCTTCTGCCTTCCCTTTCTATGCTAGTCTTCTAATAAGTCTCTCTTCCCCAGACTTACATCCTGCATTTGGTCTTCCTCTGGCTTCTCCGGAGCCAGTGATTATTCTAATATGTGGATTTCATGTGTAACATTGTTACCAGCCTCTGTTAACCGGAACAGCCATTTCATACAAAACACCACTAATCAAGCCCTAACAAAGCCAGATAAACCTACATGCCAACATCTAAATATTATTTATTCACTTCCAAGACCTACTATCATAAATAAAACAAAAAATTAAACTGCATAGTATCAGTCAAAAGCCCAAGACACTCTATACATCCAGTGAAATACTGACTAACTATAAATTTAATCCAAAATATTTTAAAAATATAACCACTTTAAAATTTAAAAAATTATATGACTTTATGACCTATGAAAATCTATTTAATATATACTAAAATAGTAACATTACTAATATTTACTTTTACTATAAAAATAAAAAATAACCAAAAGAAAAAACAAAAGGACAGGCTGGGCACGGTGGCTCACATCTGTAATCCTAGCACTCTAGAAGACCAGGGCAGGTGGGTTACTTGAGCTCACGAGTTCAAGGCCAGCCTAAGCAAAATCGAGACCCCTCCATCTCTACTAAAAATAGAAATACCGAGGCAAGAGGATTGCTTGAGCCCAAGTTGGAGGTTGCTGTGAGCTATGACACCACAGCACTGTACCCAGGGCAACAGCTTGAGATTCTGTCTAAAAAAAAGAAAGAAAAAAAAAACAAGAAGACAAAACAATTCTTTAAGAAAATATCCCTTAATCAGCCTACAGTGCATATTATAAGGATACATGTGAAATTTACTAAATGTAGAATATAAATGTCTTAACACAATAACTAAGAAAATGCTGTAAAGGCTATGTTAACCAGTTTGATGAAAATATTTCAAATTGTATATAAAACCAGCACATTGTACCCCATGATTGCATTAATGTACACAGCTATGATTCAATAAAAAAAAGGAAAGGAAATATCCCTGCTGCTCTCCAAAATTACTAACTTTTATATAAATAAAAGTAAAACTGTTAATCTCTCATCTGCTTCTCCATTGATTAAATTAAGTAATAGGCAGACAGACTCTTTAGTCAGCGACCACAGAGGGCCCATTGGCTGGGCAGCGTAGTAAGTATAGACTTGCCTAGAGCCTGCCATGGGCCTAGACAGATGAGATCAACACTTGCCTCCCTGTCACTCCCTGCA